AGGAAGGAGGAAAAGGAGAGAAGGGAAAGGAGGGATGGAGGAAAAGAGATGGAAAAAAATTTAAAAAAGAGAATTTCAGTTTCCTAATATGCCAACAGAACCATTAAGGTTCCATAATTCCAAGTGTAACCAAGAAGTTTTAGTTGGGAAAATTTCACAAGTACAGAAGTTCTAACTGATCAATCACGCTACAAAAACTTCAGTTAAGGCATCTATCATACACACAGCCTTTGGACAACGCAATTTATCAGCATACTGACAAACCATTCTGTATGTAGACAAAGGAGTGATATTTTCAAAATTTAAATTCGATCAAGACCCTGTAATTAAGCCTTTCAATAACCTATTTAAAAAAAATCCTAAGTTCTTGCATTTGTAAAAGGCACTGGATAATCAGACAACTATTTCTTCAATGTCAATTCATACCAACTTTTCCCACTCTCAATTTGCACCAGCCCCAACTGTTCCTATAACATGCTAAGTTCTTTCCTGCTTTGGGACCTTTGTACTTACTTTTCTCTCAGTTCTTAACATAGTTCTTCCTAATTCTCTACTACTTTTTGTCTTAAATCTTAAAGATTACTTCCTCAGAGATGATTTTCCAACCCACTCTACCTAAAGGGGACTTCCCATGTTCCTTTTTTTTTTACTTCACAGTACGTAGAAGGCAACTGCATGTTTCTCTCCACTACAATGTGAGTTCTTTTTGAGAAGAGATCTTATAACATATGATCCATAAAACACACCTGGCATGTAAAGTCACTGAAATATGTTGGGAAGGAGGAATGGAGAGGGTCAAACTCAGATGCTAACAAAGGTTATTAAATTAATGAATTAATTTGTATGGTGGGATAATGCACCATAAATTAAAAATTAATGCATAGCAAAATTGGTGATTCTGATTTCACAAAAGTTGAATATAGCAGTAACTTAGAAAATGAATTTTCTTGTCTTTTCTACTAATACCTCTAGTCCATAATGTTAAAATTATATTGATGGGGGAAAATGTCAATTCAATGAAAATGTAAAAACAGAATAAAATTGTACTAAATTTTGTACAATAAATAAGTTTAAAAAGAGTAGAAGGAACTACATAAAAATGTTAACAGATTACATCTGGATGGTTTGATACATTTTCTTTTTTGCATCCTTCTATATTTTCCAAATTATCTACAAAAAGAATGTTACTTTATAATCAAAACAAAATTGGTCTAAAAACATTATACTTTGATGGCTCTAAGTCTAGTCATAACAATGAATGAAGCATTATACTACCGTATTTTTCGGACCATAAGACGCTCCGGACTATAAGACGCACCAGTTTTTAGAGAAGGGAAATGAAGAAAAAAAGATTCTGAAACAAATAGTGTCCTAAAATATTTTATGTGCATTAAAACCCAACATCACAGTCATAAACACATGTAATCAACCCTGTAAAGTAAACAGCAGCATTTAGAACCCTTTTAGAGCCGGGCAAGCACAGAGACCACACAGAGCCGGGCAAGTAAAAAAACTTTTTTTTAAAGTATATGTGTAGGCTATATTTGGACCATAAGACGCAGGGACTTTTTCCCCCCACTTCTGGGGGGAAAAAAGTGCGTCTTATGGTCCAAAAAATACGGTAATTATTTTTAAACCTTCAAATAATAGTTATTAAAGCCTACTTATTCTGATTATTTTCTATTTATTCTTTCAATAATTCTCTATCACTATTACTCATTGCCACTTTTTTCTTTTAATCTTGGGAAGCAGCTTACTTAGAATCGGGGGGTGCGGGAGGGCACAGGGACGACTTTATTTGTAGTCAAACTTCAAATCCCTGCTCTTTATATATTTTTTAAAAATGTTTAATGGATTTTAGAGAGAGGGAGGGAGGAGAAGAGACAGAGAAACATCGACCAATTGCCTCCTGTATATACCCCAACCTGGGATCAAACCTCTAACCTAGGTATGTGCTCTGACCAGGTATCAAACTGGTGACCTTTCAGTGCACTGGATAATGCTCAACCAACTGAGCCATACTAGCCAGAGCAGATCTATCATATTTTATTCTTGTGTGGCAGACTCTTTTGATTGCCTGATCTAATAGCCACTTCCAAACTCTTTCCCCAATGTACTACATAAATGTAGGCTGGAAAAGCTAAATACTTGCTTTCCCAGTCTCTCTTGAAGCCAGGTTTCACAGGGAGCTTTCTGGGCAAGTCTTGCTTTCTTTCCTTTTCTCCTATTTAAAATGAGGACATTATTTGAGGTGCATCAGCCAAATTACCACCATGAGACTATCACCATGTTAAGGATGGAAAACAGAACAATTTAAAAGAACTTGGGGGCCTTTAAGATATTGCTTGAGTCACTACATCAGTCCAGATTATCTATCTTTGGGTTTCTTATTCTGTGCGAGAAAAAATTCCTTATATGTTTAAGCCATGGTTCCCTAGGTTTGCTATTACTTGAGGCAAACAGATTCTATCGATAAACCATACATATTTAAAAACAGTATTTCTTCCCTCTTGCTTCATTGGTGTTTTGGCTCTAAGTAGAAATCTAGATCATGATAATTATACCTCAGAATTTTAAGACCTTGTTTCCCCTTATCTTACAGTTTCCAATACTGTTGAGAATTTGTATATCCACCCTAAGTCCTATTCCTTTGAATGTGACCTCATTTTACCCTAGAAACTTTTAAGATATTCTCCTTATCCTGATATGTGAAATTCCACGGTGAACAATTATGATTTCTATTTTGCTAAATTTGACGTACTGACTTCTGTAGGTGTCCATTTATAACCTGGAGCCAATGTTTAGAGAAATTTTCTGCTATTTCTTTATTTTATAACTAGAGGCCTGGTGCATGGAAATTTATGCACTGGAGCGGGGGGCGGGGAGGGGGGTCCCTCAGCCCGGCCTGCCCCCTCTCACAGTCTGGGAGGCGACCTAGCGATTAGGGGAAGGCAACGCCCCATCACACCTCTGCTGCTGCCACTGCCGGCAAGCCTCAGCTGGCCCTGGTTACCTGAGCCTCGGGCAATCCTGAGTTGTTGGGCAGCCATCATCCGAAGCTTACCTGCGCCTTGGGCCGGCCCTGGGCGGTTGGAAGACTGAGATGACTAGGGGACTCTGGAGGCAGGTGCGCAGAGCAGCCGGGCCTGCCTGGGGGTGGGGCTGGCCCTGCCACCCTAGCAGGGTTGAAGGGACTGGGCGCCACCATCTTGTGGCTGTGGATGCCACCATCTTTTGAGGGCATAGCAGTTAATTAGCATATTCCCTCCTTATTGGCTGTGGGTGCCAACATATTTGAGGGTGGGACAGTCAATTATCATATTTCCTCCTTATTGGCTGTAGGCACCGAGGGTCAATTAGCATATTCCTGCTATATTATAATAGATAGGCTCTAGTCTCCTCCATTTTCCCTGTTACTATAGCTTGAGAAATTCTTATTATTATAGTTCAATATTGGAGCCCCTGGATTGATTTTCTAAGGTTCTTATTTTTAACTCTTTTTGTCTATTTTTCAGATTTCTTATAACTCTTCTACTTTTTTATTTTAACAAAATTTATTTTCCAAAAGCTCTTTCTTAGTCTCTGATTTTTCATTGCATCCTATTAAAGTTTTATGGATGCAGATCCTTTCCTCTAAGAAAACTGGCCTCAATCATTATTATTTTCATTTACTTGTGTTCAGTGCATTACTCCAGATTTCTGTTTTCAAGTTTTTGTTTTTGTCTATCTCTTCCATGGTGAAGGTCCTAATACAGAGGATACTTAACTGATCGTTCAATAAGACTGAAGAAATAAAAAGTTAATTGAAAATGTTATGTATATCGTGGGCAACACTATAGGGGACTGGGCTGTGAAAGTGGACCAGGCAGCGAGATTAGCCATTTTATTGGCATGTAGGGTCCCCAAACAACAGTATCTGGAAATATTTCCTCAGAGGCCATACATTTCCTCTAGAAAAAGTGATTCCAGTCTTTTATGAAACATATGTCTGGCATTCTGGGAACAGGGATGTAGTTAGAAGTTCTACTATTCAGTTTATAGGTTTAGCTGTCATATTTTCTGCCCCGTCCTCTTTGCCTTCACAGAGCCTTTATCATTTCATTTCTACCCAGAAAAAAAAGTGCTAGTAAAAAGTATGGGTCCTGAGGGCAAACTACTTCATGTGTGTGGTGGGTTTTTTTTTGTTTTGTTTTGTTTTGTTTTTTACAATGGTGCAATCTTTTATTAAAAGAAAACTTTCCCTCCTAAATTTGAACAACTATTATAATTTTAAAAAACTGTTTTTATAAATAATAGCTAAAAGGAAAAGCAAGCTATTCTAATTTCTCACCCTATTGCTCAAATTAGGCATTTTAAACCCCTGGGCCATAAACAAACATACCTTTCTCCTGTGCAACTAATCACAGGCAAAGTGACTGTGTATCATCTAAAGTAGGATACTTCTGAGAGTGACTGGGGCAGTTTTAATAATTATATCAGGGCAATATACATAAAACTGGGACTATCTGAGGGAAACCTTTACCCCATTACGAGGATAACAACTTCTTGGATGCTGAATTTGTAAACTTAAAGGGCATTACCATTATATGTCCTCCCTCAGAATAAAGACAGACTCTACTATGCTAGTGCATAATATAAAATACTATACTGAAAGCAGAAAGTGGAACTGATTAGCAAATATAGAATAATATAGTTTTTAGGATATCAATTCTTGCAAAGCCCCTCCTCCCCGATAAGCACACAAAAATTCCCATAGAGATTCATATACTATCTTTCTGCTCCAAGGAAATAATAATTAATATATTTTAAACAGATAGAAATGAATAGTTTAGCTGAAAGAAAGAGACAAAAACAAGTTTTCTGACCTGTTAGTCAGAATTACTTCAATTAAAGAAATGGGGCAAAGATGAAGAATGGATAGAAAGAAAAAAAAGTGGGCTATAGTCGTCCACCTTCTAAAGTATTTAAGACATGAGAGAAGAATCAGCAAATGCCTTTACCCATTCCAGAGTCCTTCTTGGTGCCATCTGATATTATATCTACATGATCAGAATCCACATCATAACTAAAGAAATCATTCAAATAGGTCTTCGATCGCTGGCCACCAAATACATATAAGCAACGATTTTTCTGAAAAAGAAGAAAAAAATGGCAAAGAAAGCAGTCACTTCCATGAAAAATTCAGAATGATCTTTAAAAAATTTAAACCTCTATAAAAATACTTTTTTGACAGATTCCATGCAGCGGAGTACTATGATGATACAAAGAGAAATGAAGATGCTTTCTATTGAAGAATATATAATGCTAAGAGGTGATCTCCAGGATATCCTATTAAAGTAAAAAAGCAAAGTGCAGCCTAGCCCGTGTGACTCAGTTGCTTGAGCAGAGTTCCATGCACCAGGAGATCACTGGTTTGATTCCCAGTCAGGGCGCATACCCAAGGTGAGGAAGCCATAACTGATCTCATAGATGTTTCTATCTCTCCTTTTCCCTTCCTCTTTTTCAAAACAAACAAACAAACAAACAAACAAATAAAATAAGAAAGAAATAAAAACATTAAAAAAAAAAAGCAAGGTACAGAATAATGTATACAATGTGCTCTCTTGTGCAAGAAATGGAAAAAAGAAATGTGTATGTGTTTGTTTCTTTCTCCAAAAAGAAACAAAGGAAGGAAACAGTTACTTCTTGGAGAAGGGATAGAACAGGAAGACAGCAGGGATAACACTAGATCTCTTAAAGTACTCAGACTTTTGGTTTTGCTTTTAGAATCAGGCGTATGTTTTTATTTAATTAGAAAACAAATTAACTCAAAAGAAAAAAAATTTCTGAAATTAGAAAACAAAAACAAAAAACCTTTCAGTACATAAAGATATGACCACATAGAAAATATTTCTAGTGACTTTAATTCATGTTTTTGAATACCCTTTCTTAGTGGGCTATATTCTAAGCAGAAAAATAATAAGAAAGCAATTTTAAACAGCATTTAGTGATTTTGCTGTTAGTTTTGCTATTCTGTAAACTATAAGACAGAATAATATAATACTGACATTAGGAAGGAGAATTTTAAACTTAAAAGATATATAAAATCAAAGATATTAAAAATTTAATCTTTCATTTGTATTAGATATATCAGTATAAACTCATGATTTAATTTTTCTCTTACTAAAAAGGATATATATATGTATATATATATTATACACACACACAAACATATAGACATGCTCGTAAATACACACACCACACACACACACACACACACACACACACACACACACACACACACACACGTACTGGGAAGGGGGCATGCCTACTAGCCAAAAATAGAGAAAATTTTTGGGCATCAAAAAAATTAGTGGCCCTGGCCAGTGTGGCACCAATGTGTCACCGCTTGATTCCAATCCCTGGCCCAAGTTGGGACACATGCAGGAAGCAAACAATGGATGTGTCTCTCTCATATTGATGTCTCCCTGCCCCCTTTTTCCACCCTCTCTGAAAATAAATGGGAAAAATATTCCTGGGTGAGGACTTAAAAAAAAAAGAATGACATCATTGAATTAAACACATCAAATATATAAAAATCGATGAGTTCATAATAACACTTAAAAAAATCTATCGGTTAACTTTGGAGCCTCAACTCATTAATATAAAAAAGTGATAAAGGAAGAAAATCAATTTATATTACCTATCCTATGCAGTTTACATATCAGAGTAGCCACACAGTTAATAATTTTTTAATAATACAATCAGTTAGTAAATGCAGAAGAAATGACAAAATTAGAAAAATCACCATTTGACAATCTTATTGAAATCCAGGCAATGATTATCAATGGCTGCCATGAGGTAAAATGTTGATAGGAAACTATAATTAATAATCAGGTTGATAGCGCCTGAATTCACTGAACAATTTTACAACCACCAAAAGTATAACAACTGCATATAAAATGCCTCTTGATATTTTGCAATCAGACCACCTATGAAGTATTCCTGCACCTTTCCTTTTGCGCTCCCCAAAAGGGAGAGTGAATCTAAAATCAAGTACTAGATTTATGGAAGTGATCATTTTGTAAGTTATATACATGTCTAATCACTGGGTTGTACATCTGAAACTAATATATGTCCACTGTAATTGAAAAATTATTTTTTTAAAGTGACTCTGGATTTAACTACCAGGAAATATAGATCACAATAAATGACATTATGATAAAATAAAATCAGCTAAGTCAAGAATACAAGAAATTCTAAAGCTCACATAATTCAGTTTCTTTAACAAATAAGTGGTATGTGGGGGAATAAAATAAGGGGGTGGGTCAGCACTATTATGGATTAAATAAAATTAAGAGATCTGACAACCAAATGTAATACTTAGAATTTTCTGAACCCTGACTTGAATAAGCCAATTATAAAAAGGTACTTTTCAGTATTTCAGAAAAATTCTATGTATTAAATGTTAAGAAATTGCTTTTACTTTGGTTAATATTATAATAGTATTGCAATTATGTTTTTTTAAAATCCTTAACTGTTAGTGACACACTACTTATAGGTATCATGATAAGAGTGTCTGGGATTTGCTTTAAAATACCCCAGCACTTAAAAAAAATCAAAGAAACATTAAAAAAAAAAAAAAAAGAAATATAAGTAGGGCAGATATATGAAAAACAAGTGAACTATTGACTGTTGAAACTAATGAGTACACTGGAATTTATCATACTCTTCTCCCCACTTTGGCATATGATTAAAATATTCCATATGTTTTTAAAGTTATATTCACAGAAAAGTTTAATGCATTGCCTGTATGTTGACTTTGCTGATAAATTTTAATTTTAATTCTATAATGTCAATTCTTAATTATTTGCACTTAATAAAGTATAGCAAAGGGAAAAATACGAACAGGTAAGAAAATTGATCTTGCAGTTAACAGAAAGAGATCTATATAAGCAATGAAATTAGTAAAAAAAATTACCTATATTATTATTCAGGTGATCACTCTTTAGGAATTACTAAGTTAATGGGAAAGAGCCTCAATTATAACAGTCCGCTATTAAAAAGTTTTACTTTTTGTCTATCATTGCTAACACTAACCATTTATATCTAATGAAAAGTTTTGATCGCTTACTGAAAAAGTAGATTTCACCACTTTTCTTACTGAGAAACACATGACAAAATAACATAACACAATGTACAGGATATTCTTACTGAGTGAAATAACATGCAGTGTCCTATCCGAGACTGGATATCCTCAGGCCCAGCATTGCAGGAGTCCTCTCGAAGAAGTTTCCAGGTTTGACATTGACAGTTGAAAGCAAACAACCCACTGAATTGTGGTTCACTGGCTCTGCTGTCGTCTACACTGCCATTACAAGTCAAAATTCTACCCCCAAAGGTGTAGATCATATGTTTCTCTGAGTCCATACACATCTATCAGAATAAAAAAATAGAATGAATAGTTTTAGATTGTTCCTGTTATATGTGTTAAAATGAAACTAATGTGTATTGTTTTAGATTCTCAAAAAAACCTAAACTATGTCTTAATAATGCTAAGTACCGCCCCTGATTATCATACACATTTATTGCAATATTGTCAACCAGCTGGCAGATGGATTTCTAAATACTTTCTCCAGTTTCAATTTTTCCCTCTAAGAATAAAATATGTTGGATTAAAGAGCTTTATGCATTCTTGAAACTGCATAATTTTTATACCACATCAACCAGCAAATAATACATGAGGTGCTGATCAGTAAACCTAAGAGTGAATACAGGTCATACTCTATGGATAAAAAGTGATCACACACTCCTTACAAGCATCCTATTAATCTTGCTACCATTAAATAAGAGAGCAGATATGTGAATGAGTGATGCAACTAAATTCATCTCTCTGCATTTATTTTACAAAACCCTTCAAATTATGTTAAAAACCAGAAAAACAGACTTTTGCAACAGTCTTCAGACTGATTTCTACAGTGTGATGAATCTTGCCTTTTTTTTTTTTAACACAATACTATAAATTTAAATTTACTTGAGGTATGTTATGCAACTCAAGTTCAAAAGCCAAACTAAATTCTTTCAACACAGATGATAGTTTTTCATTAAAATATCTGCGAAGTCATTTATCGAAGATAATAAATAAGAATTAAATTCTATTTCAAAAAGTATGTAAGTATAAGTTGGAAATTAGATACTGAACACAAGTGGCATTTATAAGTAAAGAAAAAGATTGTGTGCACAAACATTATTTTGCTAAAGCACAAATACTAGCCATAGTATGTTCAATTCTCTCCTCCAATTACTTCTGCTATTCATTTTTTGCAGTTTTTAATAAAAAGATTTTTTAATAATTGTAAAATTTGGTTTTAAAATTAATGTTAAAGAGAAGATTCTAACCAATATCACCCCAATAAATTTTTAAAAATTAAAATAAAAAAGACTCTAGTATCTTCTAATCTTTACCTACCACTAATAAGATCCACTCACTTGCCATTTCCTAGGTTCCTGGCTGATTTTCATAAATTAAGGTGAAAATCTATTATACCTCAAAGGTGAAATCTTAATGAATATGGTTGCAAAACTGAGATAAAGTTTTCATGTCCCTGGCCTCCCAAAGAAAGTGTTCTCACTTTAATCTTCAATAATCCTATCATTAAAAGCAATACATACATTCCTGAAGACGACTCAGTATGGCCCATTCACCTACTATATATATGACTGTCTAGGGCTGCAATGAAGCTGGGTCACTGTGCCCCGTCCTAAATACTTACGGCTTAAGTCTCTCCAAACACTTGGGGATCATGTTAAAAATCCCAAGGGACACACATTACATAAGCCAATTATATTTTCATAAATTTAGAGTTATACTAATTTTGGCCAATCTCTCTTATCAGGTTTCTTATGGTTATCCAGCCCCTAAATTCTACTGCATATGGCTACAAAGGGATTTTCTCTTTCCTTTGGAGGATATTTAATTTTGATGTGCTTGTTCTCAGTTATCTGCCTACAAAGGTACTAACCAGTTTTCTGAGGTTTTTAGGATTTTCTCTTAATCCTTGGTTATGAAATTTCATTAAGGAAGTATCTAGGCAGGGATATTCTTTTTCATTCATCCTGAACTGTACTTGGTGTTCCCTTTGTTCTGAAAACTGTCTTTCTTCACTTTTAGGAGTTTTCTTTATTTTTACCTTTTGTTTTGGCCAGCATTCTCTTCTTCTAGAACTCCTATTAGATGGTATCGGAACTTCAGGACCTCTCTGTTTCTTAACTTTTCTCTCTTAATTTCAGCTCATTAAGTTAGTAACTATTTTGAGGTAAGTGTATCCATTCTGCTTTTCAAATAATTTGCTGAGATTGAAAAAAACCTTTAATTTGTAACTTTTCGAGATATGTCTTTTATGAATGCAATAGCTGTCTGAATTGCTCTAAAAATATCACTTAAATTTATCCTAAAGGCTTCTTCAGCATATACAACTGTTTTTCTTTGTTAATTCTTTTTTTTTTTTTTAAATACATTTTATTGATTTTCTTACAGAGAGGAAGGGAGAGAGAGAGAGAGCTAGAAACGTCGATGAGAGAGAAACATCGACCAGCTGCCTCTTGCACAGCCCCTACCGGGGATGTGCGTGCAACCAATGTACATGCCCTTGGCCGGAATCGAACCCGGGACCTTTCAGTCCGCAGACCGACGCTCTACCGCTGAGCCAAACCGGTTTCAGCGCTTTCTTTGTTAATTCTTAATTTGTTGACTTCAGCACCCGTTTCATGGTATTAATTACATTAAAATATATGAATTTTTTGGTTGTTCTAGTCCTCTTTATATCTGAGAATCACTAGTCATTTGCCTGCTATATATACAATAGCCAGCCTAGAGGGACTGGGTGGGGAGAAATGGTATGTGATGCTGTGAAGGGTTCCACTGCTGCTCTTCAGCTGCCCTTGGGAGTATTGCTCTACCTTTCCAGCTCCAATGCCCACACTCAACACCTGACCTATGGACAATATCACACTTCAGTGCTACTAAAAGTGAAGAATGCTTTGCTGTTCAATCTCCCACCGATCATCTAATGTTTGTCTCAGCTATATAAACTTTGTGGCTTCAATCTTACAGGCTCTAGTTTCTTCCGGTTGGATCTGATCCTATCTGCTTTCTACCTTAAGGAATTCTCCCCTTACCTCCTCCCCACCCCCAATTAGTTTTAAGTTCTCAAAGGGCATTCTTTTTTTTGTTTTCAACACTATTACTAATATGTTCTATTGTCATTTCATAGGATACAGGGAGAGCAGTAAAAGTATGTGTTCAGCCTGCCAATGATCCACACTGATCTATGGTGAATGTCAATGAGCTGAGATTTCCAATCCTTGACTGAAGTTTCTCCTGCAAATTCTTGGCTAGCTTATATTCCTTTTCCTAGTAATTTCTTCAAAAGGTGGTCATACTTGGACAGTTTCTCTAGATATAAAATCCTTGACTTACATTGTCTTTTTCCTATCTTCTAGATGTTGCTCTAATGTTTCCTGGTACTGAATGTAGCTGTAGAGAAATCTGGTATCAGTCTCAATTTATTCCTCTTATAGGTGACAGAATCATTTTGCCTAGTTTCCCCCTAAAATGGCTTCTTTATATTTGAAATCCACTGTTACTAACATATGTCTTAGAATTGAATGCATAGGTCAACTTTTTTTCCTTTCTGATTATAACACACACTTTTGAAATGTGCAATAGTCTTCTTTCTTCAGAAAAGTCTTCTTGAATTTTATTATAAATATTTGTTGTTCCATTATTTTGTTTTTTGTTTTTAATGTCTCCAATTATTTGTATTTTGGCTTATTTTTGCCTTTCTCCTCTATCTATTGGGTATAATTTTCTGACTAATCCTTTTATTAATCTTTATTTCTATATTACCTGCTCTTCTTACATCTATGCTATATGACCCTTACCTATTCTTCATTATGCTCTATGTAGTTTTCATTTCTGAAAATGTTACTATGTTTTCTTCAATTTCTCTCCTGAATTTTACCAGGTCCCGTTTCACCTGTTCCTCTTATTTGGTCATCTCCGCCGAATTACTGAATTTATGCTTTGTAGTTTTCTTCAAAGTATCGAGCTTCATTAAATCATCTAATTCATGTTTGGATACTGATATATAATTTTCATCTGCTATTGTGTGAGGGAAAGTTTTGCTGGTCTTCTTTTTATTAATTTTCCTTAGAGTATCTCTTTGAAAATTTCGTGTTTTAAGCTTTTTAAATGTTCGTATTTAAATTTGTTGAATTTTCCTGGACCAGATAACAGAAGGTTCCTATGAAAGGGTAATGTTCTTGCTCAAGGACTCCCTCTGCTGTTGCTACTGAATTAAATGGCTTCTTCAAAATGTAGTCCATCTGTGAAGCCCTATCTTTTTAAAACTCTATGAACCCTCATCTGTATGTGTGTGGGGGGGGGGGGGGGGGGGGGCGCACTAAGGGGAAGGGGCGGAGTGTTTCTATTTCAAGACTTGCTTTCCTCCAGCTCCTTCACTAGATATTGCAAGAGGAGCACTGTTCACACTTGTCACGGTTCCTATACTTTTAGAAGATGGTGCTTCCTGATATCTACCACTTCTGAGCCATTCTGGGTGCTTTGCACATTTTATCTCACTAACTCCCCCAGAGTCTGCCCTGCTAAGTCATAACTCTACTAGGCTCCCTCTACATTCCCAGTTCTCCCGTTACATTACTGTCAGCTTTAATACAGGTTCTGAACATTTCAGTTATTTTTGGCTAAACTTACAAGAAATTGGGAGTTGTGGGTTCTCTTTGGCTCCTGGTTTTGCTGAATATGTGACTTGTGTTTTTTGTTTTGTTTTGTTTTTTAAATCTTTTTTGTTTGTTTGTTTTTGTTTTGGTTCTCATTGTTCCTGAAAATCACACAAAGCAACAACATCGAAAGCTTCAGAACTAAGCTGCCAGTATGTTCTTAATAAATCCAAAGCTTTAAATTTATTAACTGTTAAATTTAAAATTGCAAAGTAACTTTTTAAAGCGTTTTTATACCTCTAGCTTGCTCACGTTCTTGAGTGTTGTGTCAAATCTTAAAGTGTCATGAACAGCCCTAAGTAATTTTGAAGTTCCAAATTATAGCTTTATTTACATAAAACAAAATAGAAACTAGAGGCTTATACGGATTACACAAAGTCACTGAGCTAATTATTAGCTGAATTAGCACTAAAATCCTGGTTTCTTCACATCTAATCATTTGAAAACCAAACATTTAACAGAACCTAGCTTTCAAGGAACATTCTATTTTATCAAAGTCAGAAGAAACAAAGACCATACATAAGGACAATATACTTGTACTTAGACTATCCCTTAGCTATTCTTTTTTCAACTTGTAAAAATAAAGACATAAGTATCTTTTGTAAAAGAAATTTGTAACCAGTTGAAAGCAAGAAAATAGTTTCCCTCAAAATGTTATCTGTTGATGTTTTGTTTTTAAAACATCAGAACCAGCCAAACTTTTTTTGGAGCTCTTACTTTCCACATGAAAACACTGACGATATCATAGGGAAGTGCAAAGCTTTGCAGAGCTCAGTTAAATAGAATCAGCAGAAGTTCCAAATTCAATCTAAGGAAGAATACTTGAGAACTAATGTTTTTGATTTTCCACCTACCACTTATAATACTTGATAGGCATATAACCCAGTCCTCTTTTCCTTACCATTCTACTATAACAACTAATTGTTATTATAAATATAGTAAGTAATTTAAATATAAATATAGTAAGTAATTAACAAAAATATGTAATAATAAATAAAGACTTGGTTTTAACTCATATATGACAGGAGATAAGCTAGTCCTAAACTAGATTCTATTATAATTATAGCACCATCTCCTATTTCTTAAGTACTAGACAATGCTATGTTCATCATTACAGTGTTAAAAGGTTTTTTGAAAGTTTTTTCTCCCCAACACTCAAAAAAAAAAAACTTTGGACATGGTTTGAATCAAATAAAACTGCCTACAGAATTCAAAGTGGTTACTGTTTTGTTTGAGGTACTGAACTATACTGAACTGATTGACATGGAATACATATTCAAATATAGGTAAAAATGATAATGACACTGATGGAAATGATGATGAGACTTACATGCATATTAATATTAAAATGGCTTACAATATCGCTATGTGTAGTCTTGTCTATAACATCATTATCTGATTTTTTATTAGTGCTAATTTTAAACTTCATCTAGTTTATGTCAAATTTCTCTGTTTTATAATGTTTGTGATTATATACAAAGGTAAATATATTTCACACAAGTTGGAAGAAAAGTTCTAGATTTCAAATTCCTTAATTCATTATAAAGTAATTTAAATTTCTTCCAGGAATGTAGATTAAGAAATTTTAAAAGGGAAAATTGTTATTGTTATGATTCCTAGACATTTTTATACAACTAAGTTTGCTTTTCCTGATACATACTGCTCCATCTACTATCTAAAGTTTTTATAAGTTAACTTTTGTGTTCTGAGAAATTAGTATTTTATCCTGCAATATATAAAAGAAAAAAATTTTAAAGGATAACTACTGGCACAAGTTTTTTTTATTATCTCTCACAGATATTTGTAATAGAAATCTAAGAGATAACTTAGATTATTAAGCATAACATATGACAAACACTAAGAGAAAGTTACTAAGCACTAATTAATTCTACCATATATTTATCTGTGCACCGAACCTGATGATCAAACACCAATTTTGGCCCTCCATCAGCAGCAGTATCCTCACTGAGTAACATCCATGTGTTAGTGTCAATATCATAACGATAAAAGTCACTTTTCAGAGATTTGCTGTTCCTCACAGAAGAATCCAAATAACGGCCCAATGTGTAGATTTGCCTTCGTTGAATGTCAATGCACATTTTATGACATGATCTGGCACTAGGACCATTCTATGGAGAGAAAAAAGAAAAAAGAACAAGAAATTAAAAGAATAACAAAATATAATTAAATACCTCTTTTTGTTGACTTTCATTACAAGCTTTGTTCAGAAACTCACAACAATTTAACTAATACAAGTCCAACAAAAGAAGTAGTAGAAGATAAAAATCTCTCCATAGAAATGCTTAAAATCTACCAGTTAAGATGAGAAGAACTATTCTGTACCCTATGATATTCTGTTCATAACACTTTTATGGCTTCTATTACATACTCCATTGTGCACAGAGTTTAATTCTCTATTATATGTTGATCTACTTAAAGATACATTTAGTCCTTTAAAATATTTCTCTTCAGAATTTCTCACCAGAATCTAGCACAAATAGGCATTCCAAGAATATCTAGAATCACTGAATTTCATAACTAATAGGACCCTTTATAAAACATCTAGTTCAATTAACCCCTTTTAAACACAGGCCTAAAAGTCAAAAGATAAGAGGCATCCTCCTGAAAGCTAGTACACTAGTGAGAGAAGCAGAATGGGAATCCAAGTCTTTGGCTTTTTCATCTACCCTGTATATTACATAGAAGTCACTTCCCTGACTGAATCAATAACACAACTAGAGGAATATGGGAAGAATAGTATATTACAAAAAAAAATCAATTAGTTGAGATCATTTGTATCAAAGGATGAATAAAAGGTAAAAATTATTTATAGTATAAACTAAAAGTAGAGTTCATGAAGCTAAAAAAAAAACAAAAAACACCTTCAAATGGGCAAGACTGAATTAGCTGAAAGACGGAAAACAGAACTTTTATTAAATATCCCTAAATTCTGTCTATATTATTACTGTGTGTGTATAAATATTTTATTTAATCTGTATAACAACTCTATAAAGAAATATCATCATTTCATAGAATCTAAGTAATTTGTCCACAGTCACAAAACTAGAAAGTAAGATAGAGAATCTAAGTCCCAGGGCAACCAAGGCAAAAACTATGTTCTTTCCACTATTACAGATTGTTTTTGTTGTTGTTGTTGTTTTTAAGAAAAAAACACAAAACAAAAAAACAGCAAAAATACATTTAATACAATGTGTATGGTTATGATTGAGATGAAGAATTGCTGCTGCAGAAACAAAAGAGTTGAAGTATAAGGCAGAAATAGGAAGCTTGGTGAATGTGACAGAAAATCATATAAGCAATAAATAATTATTACAAGTTTCTAGAGCAGGAAATAAAAAAGTGGTACTATATGAAGAGAAATCTAGCATTATTTAGATTACTTAAAGCAATAAAGGTATTCAGCAGAAAGAACAGTTTGACATTAATGTTTTTAACCCAGATATTAAATTGATTTAAATCTGCGTGTCAGCTTGGCCGATGTTGCTCAGTGGTTGCTAAAAGGAGGTCACAGTTCAATTCCAGGTCAGGGCACATGCCTGGGTTGTGCGCTGCATCAACGATTCTCTTTCATCTATCTCTCTCCCCCTCTCCCTTTCTCTCTGAAATTAATAAAAATATACTTAAATAAATAAATCTGAATTTTAGTATTCATACTAATTATTATCCTAAAACTATTTTTAAAAATTTTTAATCAAGAAAAATCTTTGATAAGGTGAAATATTGAGAAAGAATTTCTTGTATAACTAAATAATCTCCAAAACAAAGATGGGGTAATATACAATAAACAAATCAATGCCATACTTCCTAGAATGTAAAATTTGAAATTGTATTAGGAGAATAACAACTTCTTACTTCATTTTAATTAGCAAGAGTGCTATTAAAGCCTTAGGTGGCTTGGCTCAGTGGATAGAGCATCAGCCTGCAGCCTGAAGGGCACAGGCCAGGGATGCGGACTCAATTCCCAGGAGGGGTATATAGGAGGCAGTCAATCAATGATTCTCTCTCATCAATGATGTTTCTATTTCTCTTTCCCTTTCTCTCTGAAATCAATAAAAATATATATATTTTTAAAAAGAGTGCTATTAAATTGTTGAACAATTATAACCTAAGTTAAAAAAATAAAATAGTAGGAATAAATAGATAGGAAACAGACAAAACCAACAAACTTGGTTCTTTGAAAGATTAATAGAATTATAAACCATTCTAAGACTAATTTTTTAAAAAGGAAGAGAAAATACAAATTGCCAATATTATAAGTGAAAGCAGAAATATCACTACAAATTCACTACAAATTAAAAATAAATAAGGGCCTAGTATTAAAAAAACAAGCAAAGTCTGGCAATGTAGATAAAATAGACATAGTCCTTGAAAATTACTTACCAAAATTGACACAAGATAAAAGAGAAAATCTGAAATCATTATATCTATTGAAAAATTGCATTTATAATTAAAAATCTTCCTACAAAGAGCACTAGTCCTATGTACTTATTATACACTGGTAAATTTTACTAAACACTTAAAGAAAAAAAATGTCAAGTGTATCCAAAATTTTTCAGAAAAGGAAAAATAACTTCCATTTTAAATCTGTACTATATTCCATTCCTAATTTAATTTATGAGGACAATAAAACACTGAAACCAAGTAACAATATCACAAAGGAGGGGGAGGAGGAGGAGGAGAAATAATATACAGGCAATTAGTACACAGAGACACAAAACTCATTTTTAACAAAATATTATCAAACAGAATGTAGCAAGATATAAAAAGGATATTTTATAACTAAAAGGTTTATCTCAGGAATGCAAAGTTGATTTTATATTTGAAAATCAATGTAATTAATTCATCACATTAACAGAATTAAAGGGAAAAAACATGATTGTATCAGCACATATAGAAAAAGCATTTTTCCTCAGAATATATTCATGAGGAAAAACTCACAGCAAACTAGGAATAGAAACTTCCTTAATCTAATAAGGAATGTATAAGAATCCAGAATCTAATTTTCACTTAATAGTGAAATATAGATCCTGCTAGATCTGAAACAAGATAAGGAGATCTAGTCTCACCCCTTCTATTTAATATTATACTGGAAGTCCAAATCAATGCAAAAAAGCATTAATTAAAAAAAAATAGAAAGTTATGATAGAAAAAGAATGGGGAAAAAAAGTAAAATGGTTCTTATTCATGGTTGACATGACTATTTGATGAAAACAGCCAAAGAAATCAACAAAGAAACTATTAGAAGTGGATTTACAAAAGTAACATATACAAAGGCAATACTTAAAAACAAAACAAAACAATTTACTGCTCTATATTAGCAGCTTGTTTGTTAATAAAAAAATGTTTAAGTACCATTTAAAACAGCATGAAAGTAAAAATATACTGAAATCAATTGAATAAAAAATATCTAAGACCTCTAACATGAAAATTCTAAGAATGCTAAAAGATATTAATAAGATTGAAATAAATGGAGATTTAACAATGTTCATGGATTACAAGACTATTAATAAGACAGCAATTCTCTCCAAATTGCTTTATAGATTCATTACATTCCCAATAATCCCAACAGTTTTAAAAATGGACAATATTCTAAAATTTATATGCAAATGTAAAAGATCTAGAAGAATCTGAAAAATTTTAAAAAATAAAGACGTTCTACATTACCTGACCTTATAAAGTATCATATTGATATATGAACAGATCAAAAGATAATGGAGCAGAATAGAGTGTCCAAAAAGAGACATATACCGTATTTTTCGGACCATAAGACGCTCCGGACCATAAGACGCACCAGTTTTTAGAGAAGGGAAATGAAGAAAAAAAGATTCTGAAACAAATAGTGTCCTAAAATATTTTATGTGCATTAAAACCCAACATCACAGTCATAAACACATGTAATCAACCCTGTAAAGTAAACAGCAGCATTTAGAACCATTTTAGAGCCAGGCAAGCACACAGAGACCACACAGAGCCGGGCAAGTAAAAAAACTTTTTTTTTTTAAGTATATGCGTAGGCTATATTTAGACCATAAGACGCAGGGACTTTTTCCCCCCACTTCTGGGGGGGAAAAAGTACGTCTTATGGTCCGAAAAATACGGTACTTATATGACCAATAGATTTTGACAAAGATTAATGGGGAAGAAGATAGGGGGCAACAACAACTCTCAAACATTTTTAGTAAGAATATAAAATTGTATAACCACTTGGGAAAGCTTCAACAGTTTCATCAATGGATGTTAAAAGTATAAAAGTTTGATAAGTAACAGGATAGTTTCATAATCTCAAAATTTATTTATCAACTATAGAATGGGAAAATCTGGAGGACACCTTCCTTGACCAACTGATCAAAGCTAATATCAGATAAATCTCTTAATAAAATATAATAAGGAATACTCAATGTCATGTCATCTACATGGTATTCCTGCTAAAGATGCCTAACCTAAATGCAATCTTAAGGAAATAGACAAACTCAATTGAGGGACAGTCTACAAAATAACTTCTTTGTATTCCAAAATGTCAAGATCAAGAAAAGGTTAAGGAACTATTCCAATGTGAAGGTGACTAAAGAAATATGACGTTGAAATGCAATGCATGATCATGAACAGAGTCCCAGGTCAAGGATAGGGGTTGGGCTGACAATGGGACACCTAAGAAGACATTACAAAGAAATTATTTGGATGATTACTTACCTCTGAATAGGAATTGTGGATTACATTAAAGCAGCTGTTTTCAGTGCAATCTGAAGTCTTCAAAACATTTCAGGGAGTCCACAAAATCAATGTTATTTTTATAACTAGAGGTCCGGTGCACGAAATTCATGCACAAAGGGGTGGGTCCCCTTAGCCCAGCCTGCACCCACTCCAATCTGGGACCCCTCAGGGGACATCCTTCTCACAATCCTGGAACATTGGCTCCTAACTCCTCACTTGCCTGCCTGCCAGGTAACCCCAAACTTCCCTGCCCCCACTAGCCTGATTGCCCCTCATTGCCTCTGTGTGCTGTCCTGATCGCCCCCAGTATTTATTAACTTTTCATTTAATTAATATCACCTAATTACTCACTAGAGAGTAAGTATATGATTTATGCCTTGAGAAATTCTGAGTCTGAGTAGGAACATAGGAATGCAAACCAATCATTACAATAACCCATTCAAGGAATATAAGTCATTAAATGGGCACATAAAAAGAAAAAAAAGCTACTAATTCTGCATAGAGAAGACAGGGACACTATACAGAGGAAGGTAAAAGCAGGGTGCATGGGGGGGACAAGCCTCTGCTAATTTCAAACGGGGAAAAAACTATTGCCAAAGGACACAGATGAGAAAGTCAAATAACTCCAGCAACTATAGATATAGCTAGCAAACAAAGTCAGGCGATGAGTCTAGAAATGGTGACCAAATCCTAAATAGAAATTTGAAGTTTTTACTCTAAGCAAAAAACAACAGAAAAACTCCACAAACAAAATGTAGGTAGATAAATTGCTTTATCATTCTGATTACTGTTGTTATTCCAACTTCCTTATATCTATACCCTTTGATAGTACCCCTCACCAAACAGTGACACCGGACTTAGTCACATGACTTTCTTTGGCCAATGGGACAATAGTAAATTTGATTGCATGCACATGTCCACCTTATTCCTCTTGAAGCCCTACCCCAGGCATGAGAACAAGTTCCCAGCTAGCCAACAGGAAGATAAACAACGACTTAGAACAGAGCCAAATTGTCCCAGCTGAAGCTATCCTGCACTAGCTGACAGCCAGCTGAGTCCCAACACATTAGTGAGCCCAGCCAAAACCAAAAGAATGACCCAGCCAATCTGTAAACTTTTGAGTAAAATAATGCTTATTATCATTTGCCACTGAAGTTTTGTCAAGTTCAAAATGAAATAGAATACAATAGATAACTGAAATGGATTGAAGCTAACCATGGGGTTTTACAAGGTGTCACATGACCCAATATGCTTTCTAAAAGCTGTTCTAATAAATGGAAAATAGATCTGGAGTCAACAACAGAGGTAAAAATTTTAAGAAAAAAACTATAATAAAGTTGGAATTAATGCCAAGAAGACAGGAAAAAACATGTGAAATGTCATACTGGGTATTAGAACTGCTGGAACTTAGGCATTAATTAGATGTACTCTATGAATAAGAAGGAGACTTCCTGGATAAATTCTAGACTTATTCAAAGAGTAATTAGAAATGCAATCAACCTACATTTAAAATAGTTGAAGGTAAAAATCTTAGAAGAAACCATAGGAAGGAAAATCCCAGACATCTCTCGTAGCAATATGTTTACCAATACATCTCCTGGAGCTGTGGTTGGCAAACTGCGGCTCGCAAGCCACATGTGGCTCTTTGGTCCCTTGAGTGTGGCTCTTTCACAAAATACCACGGCCTGAAGTTTAAGTTTAATTAAAAAATTTGGCTCTTAAAAGAAATTTCAATCATTGTACTGTTGATATTTGGCTCTGTTGACTAATGAGTTTGCCAACCACTGTCCTAGGGCAAGGGAAACTAAGGAGAAAATAAACAAATGGGACTCCATAAAAAAAATTTAAAAAAAGCTTCTGCAAAGCAAAAGAAGCTATCAACAAAATGAAAAGGGAGTCCACTGCACAGAAGAACATATTTGCCAATGATACATCTGATATGGGGTTTATTTCCAAAATATAAAAGGAACTCATCCAACTTAAGAAAAAGAAGACAGCCAAAACCGGTTTGGCTCAGTGGTAGAGCGTCAGTCTGCGGACTGAAAGGTCCCAGGTTCGATTCCGGTCAAGAGCATGTACATTGGTTGCAGGCACATCCCCGGTAGGGGGTGTGCGAGAGGCAGCTGGTCAATGTTTCTCTCTAATCGATGTTTCTAGCTCTCTATTTCTCTCCCTTCCTCTCTGTAAAATATCAATAAAATATATTTTAAAAAAAAGAAAAGAAAAGGAAGACAAACAACCCAATTAAAAAAATGGGTAAAGGAACTAAAGAGACACTTTTCCCAGGAGAAATATGAAAAAATGCTCAAAGTCACTAATAATCTGAGAGATATAAATTAAAACAGCAATGAGGTATCTACTTAAAACTTGTTGGAATGGCTATCATCAACAAACCAAAAAATGACAAGTGCTGACGAGGATGTGGAGAAAAGGGAACCCTAATGCTTGTGGGAAGGCAGATTGGTACAACCATTGTGGAAGAGTATGGAGTTTCCTCAAAAAATTAAAAATGGAACTACCATTTGACCCAGTGATCTCTGGTAATATACTTCTGAGAATATATCCTAAGAAACGCAAAGCACCAACAAGAAAGAATATATGCACTGCTATGTTCATAGCAGCACAATTTATAATACCTAAGATCTATGATAGAAATAGCCGAAGTACCCATCAGTAGACGAATAAAACTATGGTACAGTTCACAATGGAATCTATGCAGCTGAAAAAAAGAAAGCACCCTTCCCTTTAAGGCAGCATTGAGTGACCTGGAGAATATTACGCTAAGTGAAAAAAGCCAGTCAGAGAAAGATAAGTATCACATGATCTCATTCATATGTGGAATCTAATGAACAAAATAAAGTGATGAATAAAATAGATCCAGAGACTTAGAAGCATAGAACAGACTAATGAATCTCAGAAGGAAGTGGGGCGGGAGGGGAAAGATTAACCAGAGAACTTATATGCATATACTAGAGGCCCGGTGCATGAAATCCGTTCACGGGTAGGATCCCTAGGCCTGACTGGTGATCAGAGCTGATATGTGGGGAGTGTGGAGGGGGAGGGGAGAAGACACTCTCTGGCACCCGCTTTGGTCGGCCTGGCACTGCCCACTCACTGGCCCCGCCACCCACTGCTGCAGGTCACCTCCCTCTGTGGGGCGACCAGCAGGGCAATTGGGGGGCCCCCACTTGCACCTGCCTTGGCTGTCCTGGGGCCTGCGTCTGGAGGCAGCTCCTGGGTTGATAATCTGCTCCCTGGTGGTCAGTGTGCATCATAGTGACCAGTTGTTCCAAAGTTCAGTCGATTGACATATTAGGTTTTATTATAATATATAGTATATTCATAGTCCATGGTCATAGACAATAGTGTGCTAAAGGCCTGGAAGGAGCAGGTGTGGAGTGGAGAGGGTTAGTGGGGGTGTGGGGAGGATAGGGAACGGGGGACCTCTCTAATACTTTCAAAAATAAAGATAAATTTAAAATAATAAAATAGTTGAAGAGAAGAAAGTTAGTTATTTTTTTAGATGTATTTATTTTTGTTGAGATAGAAATCATTTCAGAAAACAGTACTTTAATATTAAAAAACAAAGGCCATTTTTATATAGTTTTACAGAAATAAATAGAAATCAGAATTTTAAAATATTTTTGCAAAGATAAGAATGATTAATTAAATTATTAACCCAGGGAACACATGAGTATGCAAGAATCCAGTGTCCTGGAATTAAAGACACAGCATCGGATCTTTTTTGAAATGGCCTTCCTAGATAAAAATCATCTAGGGTTTTAAATTAGGTCTTTTTCTCCCATTTTTCACTTGCAGCTCCTACTGTTTTGTTACAGTTTATTTTTAACCACGTAATCTGAAACATCGTAGACATAGGGTACAATAAAATGTTCTAAAAAGATTTGGGTCCAGCAAGGCTGGCTTAGTGATTGAGCATTGATCCATGATCAAAGTGGTCACCAGATAAGATTCCTGGTCAGGGTACATGCCTGGGTTGTGGGCTCAATCCCCAGTAGGGGGCATGCAGAAGGTAGCAGATGGATGTTTCTCTTTCATCAATACTTCTACCTCTCTACCCCTCTCTTTTTCCCTCTCTCTAAAATAAATAAAAACATAAAAAAAAAAAAAAAAAGATTTGGGGGAAAAAAACCCGAGTTAATTTTTATTTTATAATTATGTATTTAATTCAAAGCCATAAATCAAGCCATCTTATTCACTACTGAAATGCTTGATGGATACATGTATCAAGAAGCACAAATAGCCGGGACTGGGTTGGCTCAATGGATAGAGCGTCGGTTTGGGGACTGAAGGGTCCCGGGTTCGATTCCGATCAAGGGCATGTACCTTGGTTGCAGGCATATCCCCAGTAGGGGGTGTGCAAGAGGCAGCTGATCAATGACTCTCTCTCATCGATGTTTCTAACTCTCTATCTCTCTCCCTTCCTCTCTGTATAAAATCAATAAAATATATTAAAAAAAAAAAAAAAAGAAGCACAAATACATAGATACAATTTTAGGTAAAAATAAAATGTTTCATTCGTAAAACTGATATGTGTTAAATAGTAAGGGGCCAAAATAGTGAGATAGTGAAGACATCCAAAGCACAATTTTCCAGAAGAACTCAAAATAATATAAATGTTTGAAATAAGAGTAGAGGTGACAGGAACGTAAAAAAAAAAAAAAAAAAAAAAAAAAAAAAAAGATATTTACATAGTTACATTCCCAGGAAAGTAGTAAAAACTATATATATAAAAGCCTAAGTGACCGAGCAACTGGCCACTATGATGCACAATGACCACCAGGGGACAGATGCCCAACATAGGAGCTGCCCCCTGGTGGTCAGTGCACTTCCACTGCCAACCTCCAGTGGCTGGCCAACCTCCCATGGTCCCTTCCCCAGGCTGGCCAACCTCTTGCAGTCTACCCCCACCCCCACCCCCAAGCCGGCCAACTCTGATTGGAGCTGGCTGGCAATGTCCCACAGTCCCTCCCCCCAGGATGGGGAGACACCCTGACTGCAGGCCAGGCCAAGGGACCCCACCCGTGCATGAACCCATGCACAGTGCCTCTAGTATCAGATAACCACTGCTATTTAATTTTGTAAAATAGATTTGTTCATGTATAAGTAATTGAAGAACCATGTATAGAAGCTGTAATGTAAAAGTACTTAAGCCAAACCTGTTCACCACAAATTCTTCTGCTATCACTGCTGATAGATATTATTGTAGAATAGAAATTATCCAGAAAAAAGAAGTGTACACCCCCAGCCCTACTACAATACCGATGGATGAAAAGTGTGAGAACTTGCCTCTTTTTCAGTGTCTCTTGAGATACATGTCCACTGGTTCTCCTTCACACTGTACGCCCAGAAGTCAGCAAGATCTTGTGTTCCATCCCAGCCACCAAACAAATAAACGGTCTCTATGAAAATTAGAAAAATATGTGTAAAAAGATAAAATTAAGGACAAAATGTTAAGTCTAGGCATCCAGACCTAGCCAGTTGTCTCTAAACCATTTCAAAAGGTACATCTAAATAAACTTAAAAATTTTAAACTGGTAGCATTTCAAAAATATTTCTAGACTAGTATTTCCTAAACATGAATAGAAAGGCTCCTGATGAACCACTATTTTGAGAGATTTATAAAAATACAGACAATGAGGAAAAATTCCCGAAGATTCTGCTTCCATGGTTATTTAGTAGGTAAAAAAGAGTTTGTATTTTTTAAGAATCCAGGGTGAATCTGATAATCAGCCAGATAGGAGTTCTGTGTTAGGCCACAAAAAATTTACATTTACCATCTTCTTAATAATGCAGCTTCAGACTGCAAAGACAAAAAAAAAGAGAAAGGAAAAAAACCCCACAAAACACAAAGAAATATATAATGTAAAATATAACATGAAGACATCGAACTATTTCTGGGGGGAAATATCACATTATAATTGTTTCTCTCTAATGTAACACCAAAAACAATAATTAGCTGCAAGTTAGAGTTAGATATCTTAAGAATCAAGTGATGCATATGGCCTCAGTATGCCCATGGGAAATTTTTCCATATATACTGTGGGAGCTTTATCTTCTTATAAGTCAACATTTTAGTCATTTGTAGGTATCCTGAGAATTTGTTATCTTCTAATTCTGAAATATATATTATATCCATAGACTTTATCCCTGTGAGAAAACTGACATCTTGCTCAGTAAAAAGTGAAAATTTTTATACATAACAATGTGTATCATCCCATTCTTCTCTGTATAATAAAAGTGCCTTTTCTTCAAATACTTCCCCCCTTTGTAAATAAATGTCTGATGTCTACCGGTTATACAATCCCAACAATTATTTTTTAAATAAATTTAATTAGACATCACAGGAAAACTATAAAGCCACCTACTCTCCAACATGCCATAGTCCTATATATGAAGAGACTGTCATCTAAGTTATGCCCCACCATAAAGGTTTATAATTCAAAGTACACTTGGAAATATTGTAATACCCCTTAAGAAGTGTCTTGCCATTCATAGAGTTGGGCTGTCTTCTAAGAGGTTTTTGCAATTTTGTCATATAATTTCAAACTCTAAGTGAACTTTCTAAGTGAAACATCCCATTCTATGCCCCAAGAATCTTGAGAAATCAAAACAATAATTCTGGGTAAGAATAGACCACTGGAACATGACTGAATTCTAGTGCTCAGTGATAGTGTTGTGAAGTTCTTCAGATACAAGTTCATGAAAACATTCTGAAGACTGTCAAGTATGAATAACATTTCTAGCTTTAAAATGCACAGAAATAAAAAATACTTGTATCTGATTCCATGTCTAACTCAGTACCTAGAACACTTTGGCTCTGTACAAATGTGAACTACTGTATCAGAACTACAAAACAGTCCATTCTCATTAGTTAAGTAACATTGTTTCCAAAATGGCACACAGTACTGCCCAGAAACATAGAATTTTATAGGAAAAAATTAAAGCATTTTCATCTGGCTTAAATATTATTTGCCAAAGCCTAACTGTAAAGCCTGTTAATCCTGTTAAACTCTGAATCCTAGAGAGGGCGGGGTATATAACTAAAATAGCAATAGCAATTGACCTTTTGTTTTATAGTGTTTCTGGGCACCCTCTGGATAAGGTTATCCTGGTTCATTAACTTTAATAACCCTTCCTCTTGGACTCTGGGTTCTCAATGTTCTTTCTGAAAGCAGGTCTCTTTGTACGCATAAGTTCTCACAGCAAAGAAAACCCACATTTCCACAACAGCCTCATTGATAGCTGAGCAAAATAAAATCTGGCACAGAGCAAGCATCCCAATGGAATTAATCCAAGATGTCACTCTTGTCCATGAATACTTTGTGGTCCCAGTTGAAGTTTAATAGTAAAATTGAATAAATCAGAGAGAAGCAGGACCTTCTGACATACCTGAATGAAATGCATAACAAAATTTTAATTAAATCATCTAATTACTTAATTCAAATCATTCAGAATGAGATCTTATCTAGAAACAAATGGCAGCAAAAGTATTACTTAATGGATAAATAATGTAAGGAACTTTTAAGAGTATGGAAATAATTGGAGAGAACTGTAGTGAGAAATTAAGAAAGTAGAAAAAAAACATTATTTGCAACAGGATAATAGTTTGGTTTACTGAATGTCCATTCTCAAGCTTAAAGATTATATAACAATTCATGTACATCCCTGGGACAGTATAATCCTCCTCAAGTAGCAGCCCTCTCTTTTATTTTTTTCTTAAAGGAGAACAGGCTATAGAAGTTATCCATTTCTCCCAGCACTCAGAGGCATGTATGGTCAATATTTTTTGAATACCGGTACTAATCTGAATTGGAAAGGCACATTAGAGGATAATTAAAAAAAAAAAAAAAAAAAAGACAAGACAAGGAAACGAACTAAGATGGTGGTTTAGGTAAACACCTGTACTCACCGCCTCCCACAACCATATCAAAATTATAACTAAACTAGAGAACAACCATCATTCAGAACCCCCTGAAATCGAGCTGAATGGAAGTCCTACAACTAGAGAAGCAAAGAAGAAAGCACACTAGACTGGTAGGAGGAGTGGAGGCCTTGACTGAGCTGGCCCAACACTCACATGCTTCGTTTTTTTAATCGGAAGGGATATCTCCAAGGAAGTGGGGGTCCCAGCTGCACACCAGACCCCCAGCCCAGGGTTCCAGAGCTGGGGGAATCCAGGGACATAGGGGGAGGAATTGGCATAGGAACAGGAACTTGGGTGCCGCTTTCACCCACAGTGGTGCTCCTAGGGGTCATGTTCCTGTGGGACCTCCCCAAATCGCAGAACTGACTGGCAGTCATATTCTGGGTTTCCATCAGCTTGGCCCACACTGTTCTCTCCATCCTGGTGATTCCATAAGACCCCACCCAATCCAATTTGCAGCCCCATCCAAGTTGTTTGCAATTGCTTTTCCACTTGTGGTCTGTCTTGGCTCAGGCTTAAGACATTGTTAAAAACTCTTAAACAAGCAGCAGTTGGCATCACCATGCCCCAAACCAATTAATAAAAAGTTCAAGACTCAGCACTAACACCAGAATGCCTTGCTTCATAGCTGGGCCTCACCCAGGCATTTCTAAGGCCATACAAGTCGTAGACATCTGCAGATCTCACTGTAGCTACTGCCAATGGCCCTAGGCAATGTCTGACTTTGCATCTCCTGAGAGGTCTCAGAGCCAGTGCACCCGATGGACAACTTCAGACCATACCATATTACAACTCTATGCATCCACAAGCAACACGCTCCAGGGCAGACTCAGTGAGCACCAAAGCTCCAATGAAGCAAGTCCTGCTCCATAGGTGTGTCTCCTGCACAGCAGCTCTTTTAATGTAGACACAGCTGGTCCTCACAGCCAATTCCTACCAGTGACACCAATGGCAATCAAGGCTCAACTACAATAAAACTGTACACACAGCCCATATAGGGGCACACCTAGAGTGCCCAACTCAGGTTACTGAGGAGACTGAGCCACTGGGCCTTATAGGACCTCTTAATAAAAAGGCCACTCTACCAATTCCAGGAGACATAAAAGCTCTACCTAATACACAGAAATAAGCACAGGGAAACAGCCAAAATGCAGAGACAAAGAAACATGTTACAAATGAAAGAAATGAAAGCAAGCAAAATGCTAGATATAGAGTTCAAAACAATTGTTATATAGTTACTCAAGGATCTTAATAAGAGCTTCAAGGATCTTAATGAGAGCTTCAAGGGACTTAATGAGAGCATCAAGGGACTTAGTGAGACTTTCAAGGATCTTAGTGAGAACGTTAAAAACATGAAAAAGGACCAGTCAGAAATTAAGCATTCACTCACTGAAATAAATAATAATTTAAAGGGTATCAACAGTAGAAGAGAAGATTCCAAGAATTAAATCAACGATTTGAAATATGAGGAAGAACAAAATGAAATAAAAAAATAACTCAAAAATAACCCAATCAGAAGAACAAAATGAAATAAAAAATAACTCAAAAATATGAAGATAGTAAGGAGCCTCTGGGACAACTTCAAGCATACCAACATTCACATTATGGAGATGACAGAAGGAGAAGAGAGAAAAGATATTGAAAAGCTATTTAAAGAAATAATGATGGAAAACTTCCCCTATCTGGTGAAAGAAATAGATCAAGAAGTCCAGAGTGTCCCAAACAAGAGGAACCCAAAGAGGACCACACATCATAATTAAAATGCCAAGGGTTAAAGACAAAGAGAGAATCTTAAAAGCAGCAAGAGAAAAGCAGTTAGTTACCTACAAGGGTGCACCCATATGACTGTCAGCTGATTTTTCAATAGAAACATTGCAGGCCAGAAGGGAGTAGCAAGAAATATTCAAAATAATGAAAAGCAAGGACCTACAACTAAGATTACTCTACCCAGCTGAGCTATCATTTAGAATTGAAGAATACAGGGAATAGGCAGTAGAATAGAGGATTCTAAGAATTAAATCAATGATAAAGTGCTTCCCAAACAAGAAAAAATAAAGGAGTTTATCACCACTAAATCAGTATTATATGAGATGTTAAAGAATCTTTTTTAAGAAGAAAAAAATATATATTAATAAAATAACAATAAATGATATCTATCAACAGTTGAATCTAAAAAACAAAATAAACATGCACTATAATAGACAAAACACACTAATGAATAAAATAGAATCAGAGGCATGAAAACATGGAACAGACTAATGAATCTCAGAGGGAAGGAGGCACGGATAGGGGAGAGAGGAGAGAAGAAATTAACCAAAGATCTTATATGCATATATGCATTACCTATGAACACAGACAATAAGGTGATGAAGGCCTGAAATGGGTTGGGAACCAGGTGGAGAGGAGCAATAGGGGGAAAGGAGGGTCATATGTAATACTATCAACAATAAAGATTAAAAAAAAAAAAGAGTCCCT